CAGGAAGGGGGCCACAAGAATTACCAAACAATGCACAATTGTTTCATTTACCTTACTCGCCTCAGAAAGTACCGCAAGCAGCCAGGATAAAACTTTCCATTGATACAGTGATGACGGCTCCCGTCGCCCTACATAGCTGCGCCATGTTCTCGCGACAGGTGCCCTACATACAGACTGCAGACGACGCGTGTGATTTCGTGCAGACCAGAAGGCAAACGCCACGCGCTTCGTCTTCTTACCATCCCCCTCCATTAACATGACCCACTCGGAAAAATCAGGTGGCCACCATACCAGGGAGCGGAAGCTGCCAACAGAACAGCAATACCGACAGTCTACAGAATAATACGAGGAAGACGGCAACGACAAACTACCACCTCTACTCAAAACGCGACGCAAGGAGCACCAACAGGAGCCGCTACGCACAGCCACTCCCACGCAATGCGACCCAGCGCCCGCACAGGTACTACGCGCACACGCACGGCCAAACAACCAGGACGACACGACCGACGCAAGGTTCGACAAATACCTCGTGTAAATTTCCCTATACGCGGGATACGAGTACGTACCCATACCCGCGGCCAAAGGCTGGGCGCGCACAAAGAGACAGACGCACCTTGACAATCGCCGACCTGCCCGACACCAATCGACCGTACTTCACGCCCCTGCAAAAACGGCTCCAACAAGCTCTTCAGAAGTGGAACACATACTCATCGCACACCAGAATCCCAACGCACTCGTCACAGAGACCAGCCAACGCGCGGATATACATCCCCAACGCGCATCGCATCCACGAACAACGCAACCCCAACTTTCTCCGTCCGCAACCTTCGCCAGAAAAACCACAGCCAAGCGATCCTCAACTCCAGTTCGGACCCCCAGGTACCTCAGGACCAAGGACGGAGTCAAAATGCCCACGGACGTCCCACCAGAACATCCTCACCACAACTCTGTTCAAGGCGAAATTGCACAAGTACATCTCAGGCCAAAGGTAGTACGATGTCAGAGACAGATTGTGACTGACCTGCACAAGCCACATACCAATCGCAACTCCGCAGCAGCGCATGCAGATCTTGACCTTCAGAACCAAAAGAGCAAACCAAAACAGACCACGACCCGACGCCAGCTATGAATACACACCGCCGCTGGATGCACAGATACCAAAGCCACCGACACAAACTGCATCACCACAGCAGCCACAACCGACACCTCTCCACAAACCACGAGGCCATGCCAGGAACAACTTAAATGAACTAGTCTACGACACAATCGACTCCGACAGCAGCACGGACGACGACGACCCCTGAGCCAAACTGGATGGCGCAGCAGACGCACAAGAGTTCTACCTCTCACCGTTGCCTCCACAGAAAGGTCACGACATGCACTGCTGCACTGCCCCAGCGGATGGACAGCCTACTGCCACCACGCCAGCGACACAGACGCCGACGGCTGCGACGACGACCAATGGCATTACGCAGCCTACTACCACGAAAGATCCAACACCTACACGTTCACATTCCCCAATGACGATCTACTACTGCCAGGATGGTACAGGTACTTGGACAAGTTCAACAACGAGCTCTTCATACACCAGGACCAACAACAATACCTACCATACCCTCCACTACGACCCGACGCAGGGGCAACGCCGCTCTTGACCTTCCAGCTGCCGCGCACAATCCCTAAGTACCCCAAGCTCAAGAACGCAATACACGCCGGCACGTTTCTACCACCCCCAAAACGCAAAGGCAGCAAACCAAGATTCCGATACGGCAACGACATGGCAGCATTTGCCAGCCACGATCGCAACAACGCATCATTCCGACTCGCAGTACCCACTACCAACCAACACTTCCACCCACCACAGACAAGTGGACGTGGACGACTGAATCACAACATGATCACGAACATCCGGGAGTCGCACAATGGCTCAACACATGCCACGACGACGATGACAAAATGAAGTACGACTGGGCAGTCAACATCTACGACGCGACGGCACTCCTACAGAAGATCTGCAACCCGACTGCAGCTCACAGCACCACCAGTCCCACACAGCCGACATCTACTACCAGCTCGAGCGACGAGGACACGCGGACCACCACTCACCCGACGAAGGACATACCCGACTCAGGACCAACACCGCCGCCACCCACACACATACACACACATTCCACCTGCCAAAAAACCGCCACCACTGCGGGCCACACCAAACGGCAAAAAAACACCACCTCAGAGGACAACAGCACACACCACAATCAGCGACACAATCGCAAACGCACCATCAGCACCACGCACGTAGGCCCTCACAGCATGGTCACCCACAGTGAGAGTCACCATGCCCATTCATCCACCGCCACCGACTCTCAGGATCCATATCGTTTGCCCACCCTACGAAAACATTGACACAGCGGTGGTTACAAGACATGCCAATCCACCGACTCGCACCACATACCTACGCCACCTTACAAATAGATGTTCCATCCTCCCCGAGCCATACCACATGCGCGCAACACAACGTGACCAACAACCGCGGACACATCTTCGCACGCGACATCGGGGACCCGCGTTTCCACGAACGCATCGACACCGCACGTTCACACCAAGCACCATACGAGCAACATCTCACCAACATCCACACCCGCATTCTCCAACAAGGCATACCCTTCAGAGAAGCACCGCCGAGCAAGCCCGACCCACGTATCTTCAAGGTACAACCGAAACCCAATAGCACAGGACCAGTCCAGTCGACGCCAACAACACATCACTAGCTACATTCACGCACAGAACCGACGAACATGACGATTCGAACGTATGGGAAGATAACACAGCGACATCAACCTCGAGCTCCACCTCATCGCCTATTACCGCAGAACTTCGATTACTGACCTCCCCTCTTCTCTATCCTCACTTTTCAGCAGGCCAACGGGCCAGCGACAATACGTTGACATAGCACCTCCTCTGATTGTTTACTTCGTTGCTGCTTGCGTCTTACACGTTGCATCGTTTTGCCGCTGCCTCCCCGCCATACCCCACCCCGCCTCGGGGGCCCCTGGCCTACAGGGCCCCTGGCCTACACAGCCTCTGCTCAGCCCACCGCTCCTGACAACAGCACACGCTAGACCGCGGACGAGGTGGGTATCTGGGAGAGGTGGGGATCGGCGGGGCTGGGTAGAAGGGGACAGTCGGGCACAGAGGCCGGTCTGGCCCTCGGCGGGAGGGTGGGCAGCCGCCCCACCGTGGGCCGCGGTATACCGAGCCTGCCTCCCACTGCCTCGCCATGCGCTCGTCATACCCCCTCTCCGTCGTCTTGCTCCCACTGCTCCAGGACCTCGCTTCGGGACCTCTATAGCCCACGGGGCAGGGCGAGCCCCAGTCGCCAGACAGGCCGGCCTCACAGGCCAGCCGTAGCGCAGACTCTCAGCAGCTCAGGCCACCACAGGCCACCAGACAGGCCAGCCAATCTGGCCAGCCTGCCAAAACGGCGTTTCATGTGCTATGCATCAGAGCCTAACCCGAAAAGAACTGACAAAAAAAAACACGGGGGTCCTGGGTCCTAAAAGGTTTGGGGTGAACCATAGAACCCTGGGCGGCGACCCAAGAACCGCTACGATTGCATGCGCTACGACTCCAACCTGGAGCACGTCATAGCTGCGCATGCCAAATAAGACTGTCGGTATAGCAGCACGCCATGATTAGCAGCAGAGCCACGCCACAGCATACCCGCTGTGCTGACCAGTCCTGAGGAGGGTCTACTGCTCATTACTTTGGGCGGCGAAGCCACGTTTTCTGTTGCACCTCTCGCGCAGCGGCAGTCTGCACCAGTATCCTTCGAGGGGGCATGGGTACATGGTTTGGGTGGGGGTGGTGGAGCTTCGCCATTGTTCTAGCAGTAGCCTCGCTGCCCAGTGCGAAGCAATAAGACTGCGCACTACCTTTGGCGGAAACGCCACATGTTTTACAATCCGACTCGCATCTGCAGCCTCCCAATGGCGTCATACAATTCGGACCTGCATCAGTTGCTTACACATGTCTCAGCATACATTTTGCATAACATGTTAGCCATTGCTTACCCGTAGCCTCCCAGCCCAGTCTTCAGCAGAAAAGACTGCTCCTTACCTTTGGCGGGAACGCCACTTCTTCTTAGCATCTCACTCGCTCCATCAGCCCTCTCAGAGGCTTGTGACAGCTCGTACTTACCCGCAGCCGCTGACAACACCAGTCTCCGTGTCGTTTGCCTAGACATCCTAGCATGTTACTCGAACCAGCAACTTTCACCAGTGAGTAGTATGGGGATTCTCTGGTGGAGGTAGTTAATATCTTCTTGAGGAGGAGGATGTCTACAATGACACACAGCGTCCTTTTTCATCGTCTCAGACTTAACTGAACCAAATGCAGCCAAGACAAATGGACAGCCCACCAGTCTGTAGCATGATTGTATTGCGCACTTGCTTTCACTTGCACTTCTCCCCGAGGCAGCCAGTACCAGAGATTCAAGGGATGGGGTCTGGGATGATGGCTGTACTTAGGTACTTAGGTGGGACAGTACGCACTTAGGTACGTGCTGACCTAGTACCTGGCGGGCGCCTATTCTTCTTCTCTACTTGCCGCCGCTCTCTTTTTTCCAGCTTTTTCCGCGGCGCACGCTAGGCATTCGTGCGCCGAGTAGTTTGTTTTGTCGAGTCGTTTAAACAAATATTTGTTTGTATGTTTGTGCTCAAGAACGCAACAGCCATCACACCTAGTGTTAGTCCAACGTAAAAGAAGGAGGAGGAGGAGGAGGAGGAGGAGGGGAGGAGGCGGGAGGCGGAGGAGGGGAGGAGGCGGAGGAGGAAGAGGACAAGGAGGAGGAGAGGAGGAGGTGGAGGAGCAGGAGGAGGAGACAGGGGAGGGAGAGCAAGCGGGAAGAAGCTAGGGGGGGAAGGAATAGCAGGGCGGCGGCGACCGCGACCGCGGCGCCCGCGGCGGCGGCGGCGGCCGCCCGCAAAACGGTGGCGTGCTGCCTGGAACGCCAGCTGCAGGCCGCGCCGTGGCGGGCGCCGCGCCGGGGGCTGGCCGACGCCCCTGGAGGGGGGGTCGACTCAGGGCTAAACCTAAACGGTGTTTTTCGTTTTCGTTTTGTTTTCGTTTTCCCTCGTTTTGTCTACAATCCGCTTCTACCGCAAAACGAAATCGAAACGAAAACGGCCCACGAAATCGCCAAAACACCGTTTAGGTCCAGTCCTGTGTCGATTCAAGCCAGCAGCTCGCCCCGCACGGGCGACAGCGAGGACGGCGACCGAGGGCGACGAGGATTGCGACGACGAGGGAGACGAGGAGGAGAGAACCAAGAAGAGTTGAAGGAGGGGGGTGACGGGGGATGAGGACGACGATGGGAATGAAGAGCCCCCTTCTCCCCACTCTCCCCACTACTCTTTTCTCGTTTCGTCCGCCCTATTCCGTCAGATAAAGGAGGAGAAGAAGCGGAGGAGGAAGAAGAGGAAGAGGAGGAGGAGGAAGAGGAAGACCAGTGTAAACCCAAGAGCCATCAACGATGTTGGAATACACCCTTCCTCCAAGTTCCCTCCTCATAGGCCCCCACAACGGGTTCATTTCCACTTAAGAGACTGCCTCGCTGGATGACGACAGTTTGAAGAGCCTGAAGCGTGCCAAAACATTTGTCTCGGGAGTCCAGCGCCACGGATCAACGTGTCTGTTGCGTCTTGGCGATACTTAATCGTGCCAGAACGCCATTGTTGGGACTTCAACACCGCGAACCCACCCTCATGATCATGAATATTTCCAAAACGTTATTTTTGATACGTTGGCCGTGGGAACCAGTGAAACTATTGCAATGATATGTGTTACGCACATGTATTTAGACATATATACACGATGCGCGCGGCGCTAAGACGAATGACACATTTTGAAAACGACAACCTTCCAATCCGTGAAACTTGTGCGATTGGTTTAAACGAATACTCCCGGTGCTAAGGCGAGATCCACATGTTGAAAACCACCCGCACTCAATCCGTCAAACTCCTGTAATCCGCCGACACTTGAGGCGTGTGCGATATCAATCTTGATCGACACAGCCCCACCGCCTGTCCGAACGCTTGCATTCACTATCGAGCCGATGCATGCACTATCGAGCTGATACTTCATCGCACTCGGTATTGACCCTGACCCCCTACCAGGTTCCCACAAGGTTCGACTTCCGCACCGTCCCGGCACCCCCACCCGAGAAAACCCCGCCCGACTTCCGCACCATCCCGCGACGCCCCCATCACGCTCCCACCACGCCTGACACCGCCAGCCTCCTGTATCCTGTATCCCACCGCGCTTCCACCACGCCCCCCCCCACGCCTGACGCCGCCAGCCTCCTGGAGCCTCTGGGCATATGTTCCTAGGGGCCACCCACCCTGCAAAAACCTCGCTGGCACCCCCCCACCACGCCCCCACCACGCCTGACGCCGCCAGTCTCCCACAGCGCCTCTGGGCATAGGTTCTGAAGGGCCACGCACCCTGCCAAAACCTCGCTGGCACCCCCCCACCACGCCCCCGCCACGGCCCCACCGCGCCTGACACCGCCAGCCTCCTGGAGCTGTTGAAAAAGAGCTCCAAAGGACCAATCACCCTGAAAAAAAAACGCCGGCAACCTCCTCACCACGCCACCACCGCGTCCCCGCTGCGCCTGACACCGCCAGCCTCCTGGAGCCTCTGGGCATAGGTTCTGAAGGGCCATCCACCCTGCAAAAACCTTGCCGGCACCCCCCCACCGCGCTTCCACCACGCCCCCCCCCACGCATGACACCGCCAGCCTCCCGGAGCCTGTGGGGATAGGTTCGTAAGGGCCAGCCACCCTGCAGACACTTCGTCGGCACACCTCCACCGCGCCCCCACCACGCGTCCACCACGCCTAACACCGCCGGCGTCCTGGAGCCTCTGGGCACAGGCTATTAGGGGCCGCCCACCTTGCAAAAACGTCGCCAGCCCCCCCTACCACGCCCCCACAACGCCCCCACCACGCCTGAATCTGCCAGCCTCCTGGAGCCTTAAGGCATAACTCCTTAGAAGCCACCCATATTGCAAAAAATCCGCCGGCAACCCCCCACAACGCCCCCACCGCGCCTGACACCGCCAGCCCCTTTGGCCCATCTGGGCATAGTAAACTCTTAAAAGCGCCACCCACCCTGCACAAACCTTGCCGGTGCATCCCCACGACGCCCCCACCACGCCCCCGTCACGCTTGACACCGCCAGTTTCCTGGAGCCTTTGGGCATAACCAACCGTTCCCGATAATAATCCCCAGCGAATAATAAAGTTCGGGGTCTGGCGGGGATAATCACAAATTTTCCCGGCGAAGGCGATGTTATACTGATGATGGTGATGGTGATGGTGATGGTGATGATGATGATGATGATGATGATGATAATGATAATGATAATGATAATGATAATGATGATGATGATGATGATGATGATGATGATGATGATGATGATGATGATGATGATGATGATGATGATGATGATGATGATGATGATGATGATGATGATGATGATGATGATGGCGATGACGATGATGATGATGATCCTGGGCGCTCGTGTAATCTGACCTTGTAGATATTGGTACAAGACTGACTCGAGAGATCCCAAGGCTCGTGGCTACTTCAAGAACCAATCGGCCCTCGTGGCCCTGCCACACGTTCCTGACTCGGGAACGGCTGAGAAAGTGAGAATCCCATGGCCCTGCCGCACGTTCGTGCCTGGGGAAAACTGGAATGATGAGAACCACATAGCCCTGCCACACGCTAGTGATTGCGAAGCTGAAATGGTGAGACCACCATTGCCATGCTCAGCGTATTTGATGATGTTGCTAATCAACATGAGATGATAGCAACTTCGATTGGCAACTTCCCCTGGGGATTATCACATTCGGCGTCCACGCCCTCTGCACAATCAAATCCGATTGACACGGGATGAAAAATAGAAGGGGGAGACGGGGAAATGAATTATTATCGGGGGCACTGGGTTAAGTAGCTTTGCCCCCCACCCTGCAAAAAACCTCGACAGCACCCCCCCACCACGCTTGGCCGCGCCAGCCCCCCGAACCCTCTGGGCATATGCTCTGAAGGCCACCCATCCTGCAAAAACCTCGCCAGCACCCCTCCCCTCCACCACGCCCCCACCACGCCCCAACCACGCCTGACACCGCCAGCCTCCTGGAGCCTGCAGGCGTAAGTTCTCAGGGCCCACCCACCCTGCAAAACCTCGCTGGCGTCCCCCCCCACCGCGCCCCCGCCACGTCAACACAGCGCCTGACGCCGCCAGCTTCCTCGAGCCTCTGGGCATATACTCTTAGGGGCTTCCCACCCTGCAAGGCTCGCCAGCTCCCCTCCCGCCACGCCCCCACCGCGCCTGACACCGCCAGCCGACTGGAGCCCCTGGCCATAGGTTCTGAGAACCTCGCCGGTACCTCCCCGCCACGCTCCCGCCGCGCCCCCACCGCGCCTGGCCGCCGGCCTCCTGGAGCCTCTGGGCATAGGTTCTGAGAGGCCACCCACCCCGCGAAAAAACCTTGACCCCCACACAACGCCCGCACCACTCCCCCACCACACCTGACACCGCCAGCCTCCTGAAGTCTCCGTGCATGAGTTCTGAGGGGCCACCCAGCCTGCAAAAACCTCGCCGGCATCCCCCCCACACCGCGCCCCTGCCACACCCCCGCCTCGGTATCAGCCTCCTGGAACCTCTGGGCATAGCTTCTTAGAGGCCACCCACCTGCAAAAACCTTGCCGGCGCACCCCACCACGCCCGCACCACGCCCACCCCGCGCCTGACACCGCCAGCCTGCTGGAACCTTTGGGCATAGGGTATGCGACAAAAAAAAAAAAAACGCCACCAAGCCCCCACCACGCCTGACACCGCCAGCCTCCTGGAGCATCTGGGCATAGGTTCTTAGGGGCCACCCACACCGCAAAAACGTCGCCGGCACCCTCCCACCGCGCCCCCACCACGCCTGACACCGCCAGCTTCCTGGAGCCTCTGGGCATAGGTTCGTAAAAGCCACCCACCCTGCAAAAACGTCGTCGGCACCGCCTCGCCACGTGCCCACCGCGCCTCCACCGCGCCTGACACCTCCGGCCTCCTGGAGCCCCTGGGCGTAACCCACCCTGCAATAACCTTGCCGGCACCCCGCCACCGCGCCCCTGCCACGCCCCAACCGCGCCTGACACCGCCAGCCTCCTGGAACCTCTGGGCATAGGTTCTCAAGGACCACCCGCCCTGCAAAAACCACCACCCCCACCACGCCTGACACCGCCAGCCTCCCGGAGCCTCTGGGCATACTTTCGTAGAGGCCACACACACACTGCAAAAACCTTGCTGGCACCCCTCTCCACGCCCTCACCGCGCCTGACCTCGCCAGCCTCCTGGAACCTCTGGGCAAAGGTTCTGAGGGGCCACCCACCCCGTACAAACGTCGCCAGCGCCCCTCCACCACGCCGCCACAACGCCCTCACCGCGCCTGACCTCGCCAGCCTCCTGGAACCTCTGGGCAAAGGTTCTGAGGGGCCACCCACCCCGTACAAACGTCGCCAGCGCCCCTCCACCACGCCGCCACAACGCCCACCCCGCGCCTGACACCGCCAGCCTCCTGGAGCCTCTGGGCATATGTTCTTAAGGGCACCCACCCACCCTGCAAAAACCTCGCAGGCACCCCCCGCCCCCACCGCGCACCCACCACGCCTAACACCGCCAGTTTCCTGGAGCCTATGGGCAAACCTACGCCCCCACCGCGCCAGACACCGCAAGCCTCCTGGAGCCTCTGGACATAGTTTGGTAGAGGCCAACCACCCTGCAAAAACGTCGCTGTTACCCCTGCCAGGCGTGCTTTGGACACGTCGGAGCGGAGGGCACTTCCAGCACACCTCCAATCGACGTCGCCAGTGGTTCCAGCGAACCCCGAGCCGTGTCAGCAGCAATAATCCACTCATGGCCGAGCGCGCGCACTCTCAACAGATACTGCACCATCGCCGTCAGCAGGGAGATACTATGCTGCCCCATTCCATCATTGACAAGGAGGTACTATATGTTATAGAAAGAATTCGTCATCTAAGAATTGGCGTCGCCAAACCCCTGGCCAATCCCAGCCAACCCTTCTGAGCGACGCAATGCCAACACGTGCGACGACGGGCCCGGCCAACCTGCCTGGCCAGCCTCCGGAAATCGGGCTAACCCTCCCAGCCAACCCCCTCTGGCCAACCCTGGTTAGACCGATTCTTCCCGTAAGATACAGCACGCTGACACTGCAACCAAACCGCTGACCAGGATGCCTTCGGCCTCTGCCGAGAGCGGGCCCGCCGTGACCTGCACTCTGCGCTCTCTTCAGCGTGATCACTGCCACTCCTCCGCTGGCCCCAGCTCCCACGCCTGCCTCCCCAGCTGCTGCCCATATTCCGTGGCAGCCAACCGGGCAGGGGGGGAGCAGGGGGACGAGGAGGCAGGAGGAGCAGCGACGGAGCAGCGACGGAGCAGGGAGCGAGGAGGAGGCGGCGGCGCAGGGAGGGAAAGGGGGGAGGCGGACGGGGAGGGGGAGGGGAGGGCGGGGGGCGGAGGAGCAGGGAAGGGGGGCGAGGAGGAGGGGGGAGGCCGGAGCAGGGAGGGAGCAGGCGCAGGCAGGGGAGGCCTCGGCACGCTGGGCACGGCGGCCTGCGGGGGCGCGGCCTCGAAGTGGGCCTGCAGCTCGAGCGAGCGCGTTCCTCTCGGGGCGTTCCTCCTCCCTCCTCCCTCCTCCCTCCCTCCTCCCCCTCCCTCCTCCCTCCTCCCTCCTCCCTCCTCCTCCCTCCCTCCCTCCTCCCTCCTCCCTCCTCCCTCCTCCCTCCTCCCTCCCTCATCTTCCCCGTCCTCCTCGCCCCAGGAGGAGGAGGGGCGGCGAGGAGGAGGATCCAGTCCCCCCCCCCTGCATATTAAAGCATTTTGTTATGTGGGAGGCGGAGCGCATCGTTTGCTTGCTGTTGGCATCGGCGTGGCATACCCGCTATGCTTTTCTTTCGGCGCTCGGGGGGGGAGCGGCGAGGAGGAGGATCAGCGAAAAGCGGAGGCGTGAGGCAGAGATGCCCCAGCTGCAGTCTCTGACATGTTGTGGCGGGGGGAGAGCTGCACTCTTCGGGCCAGATGGCCGGGACGAGGTGCACACTCCCTCCAAACGATAATCCCCAGCAGCCCCTACTCTGCCTTGCCAAAACTGATAGGAGCGAAAAGGAGGGCTAGTGCAAGCCCAAGAAGCATCAACGATGTTGATTTTTGCGTCCTGACAATCCTTAATCGCTCCAGAACGCCAATCTTGGGACTTCAACCATACGAATATTGGAACCTGTTGCAACCTTTCCAAGCGAGTACGCACGGAACTAAAGCGAGAACCAAATTGTGAAAAGAAGCGGCCCACCATCTGTGAAACTGTTGCCCCGCCGTCCAGACGTGAAGCTATTGCAAACTTTTAAAGCGGATGAGCGCGGAGCTAGGGCGAGAACCACATTTCGAAAACCACCGACCCTCAATATGTGAAACTGTCGAACGTTCAAGCTTCAGGGACATAAATGGTAAGGACATCTCAGGCGAAGCGCACGGTCCATCTTACCGACATGTCTGGGCAGGCGACAGGGATGATTTTTATAGACAGGGATGAAGGAGGAGGTGGAGGAGGAGGACGAGGAGGAGTTGGCGATTGAAGTGGAGGTAGCCACGAACCGCCCAGCGATTGAGGCGCGTCAGTGGCAATGCGCCGATCGATCGGCCACACGCAACTCAGATCTCTTCATCCCTCCCCTTTCTCTGTTCAATCATATACCTTCAACTTCCGTGTCTAGTCCTTCACTCTTACACTTGTAAACTTGTTTGCCCCATAAGGTATCAGGATCCTTCAGGTGGCAGTACCACTTGCGGGGCCACCAGGCCATGACGAAGCAGCACTCCGGCTCCGACAGCTGCATCCTACGCAGCGCCAGCACTACTTGCAGGTCCACCACGGTCACGACGTCAGCAGCCAACCCAGCTTGGCATCGTCGAGAACGTGAACGACGAACAGTGGCATGGACGCTGCTACGGGTAGCCTCAGCACGCAACCTACTCGACTAGCACACGCAGCATCAGCTCGACTCAGCTCGGCAACTGCTACAGGCGCACCAGAGCGCACAGCAACCACCGCACCATACCCCTCAAGCTCCCACAATAGCAGAACCATGGGGATCAAGCGCGGGCGGCTCAGGAATTACGGCACCACCTTGGAGGTCAACCCCAAGCCGCACTCAAAGCAGATGACCGACACCAAGCCCAACTCCATCGCCCATTGGTGCGGATGTCGAGCGCTGGAGGAACAACAAGTGAACGGAGCAGTGAGCCAACGACCACCCCGACCCCAAATGGAGCAATGGCTACAACGACAAAGGCAACAACGGCAGGGGAAAGGGAAACTCCCCTAAACTCTACGACGACGACATCGAGCCCGACAACCGCAACCAAAAGGGCAAGAACCATAACAACAACGACAAGGGGAAAGCCAAGGCTCAATCAGAGCAAAATAACACGCCCAAGAAGGACGCCGCCCAAGACTACAAAACTGTATCGCCAACACGATCAACAACGTCATGCCAACGTGGAAAGTTCAAGCGGCCCGAAGGCCGGACTGGGAATCACCACCCAACAACTCGATGCTCAAAGACAACTGGAAGAAGATCAAGCTCATCGAGCAGAAGCGGTCAGCAGCAGCCATCACGAAGAACAGCGCTGCAGGACTACCTACTACAGATACAGTTTCCCAGATCGCCTTCACCGAAGCCATGATCCTCAGCAGTACGTCCCGAGCCCAACAGGCCAGTGAAGTAGACAATGCCAAGCAGACCATGGAAGATTACTACGAGCGCACGAAGGCGCACAAGAGCCAGATAGAGAAATACATGAACGAGTTTGAAGGGAAACTGGGACACACAAATAAATACACACAAATAACCATATTCCCAATATTTTCCTATATGTTCTGGGTTTCTGTATTCCCCCCTACTTCCCATATTTTCCCATATTTTCTGGGGAATCGACGAGTAATTGTGTCTGTGTTTTTTCCACTCCTGAGAGTTGGAGAACAAGATCGACGAGCTCAACACTCTGCAGCGCGACAAGAACTTTGCCAGGGACGACATCTACAGGGACGCAGGTGCCGCCGACGACGACACCGAAAAAACACACAGGGGCACACCACAGAGAAGGGCGCCCACGCCAGCTCGTAAGAGACGAACAAGGGCGGGGGAGACGGCTGAGGGCCAAGACGTCGGCATACTACTTGAAACCTTGCGAGAAGACAGCCAACGAATGGCCCACGACATCATGAAAAGAACCAGAGCGACGCCAAAAACGAGATCCACGCACGTCAGAAACACCTCCTCCGCGCGGCAAAAGAGAACGAACAGGAGCCAGGTGAAAGACAACACAAAGAAGCAGCACAAGCCCGTCATTGCCAGAACGAGCTGAAGAACGAGATCGACAACGCGAAGACGACAAACGAGAAACTGACCGCTCACCACGAATCCCTGCAAACCAGGAACACGGCAGCCCTCAACAGGATGGAGGAGGAACTCGAGGTGACGGGGACTACCACAAAGGATATACAGGAACACCGCGACCACGCCACGCCGAGACGAACGAACTACAGAGCGAACCCAGGATCACGCAGCGGGGTTCTCATCGACAGCAACAGCTACAAGAGGCTGCAAGGCTGGCCAACGAAAGGCAAGCTTACTGCGACATGACCGACGAGGCCGAGCAGCACATCGCCAGCATTGAAGCGCAACGGCCAAGGATCACAACAACCACACCCTCCTCTTGCACAGATGGGGAGATGCGGAGGACAGGCGCCGACACGCCCAGGACGAGCTGCGTGACCCAGCAATGCACATGGAGGCGACAACCTGTGGGAAAAAAAACACACACTGTGGAAAAAAAACACTGTGGAAAAAAACACACAAGTCTTTGAAAAAACACACAAAGAGTCTGTGGACAAAAAACACAAGTCTGTGTGTTTTTGTCCAAGGAGTACCAACAAAGAGTCACCGACTTCGACCGGCTCGTCAGGACAAGGGATGCGGAACAGGCCCAACACCACGAGCAGTACCTCCAACACCTGCTGACTGGCATAAACACGCATGTCCTACGAGCTCAAGGGCAGCTACAACTTGTTCTCCAACGCGCGGAGATGGGCACGTCAGAGCAGCATGAGGCACATCTACAAAAAAATAGATCTACCAGCATACGGAGTCGAACTGGAAAAACTGGAAGGAGATGCGCGAGAGGCGCACCGAGGAGGCAACGGAGTACCACTACGCGCGACGCGCTGCTGGACTGGCACAGGAGCGAGTGAACAACGTGGAGATGGTCGACGCGATCGACAAAGCCCTCTCCACACAAATACCTACCGATGATGAGGAGCTACATCCGTTCATGCTACATGTCGACCCCTTGCCCTGGCAGACTTCTGAGATGGAGGGGGCCAAGCCAACGTAGCCACCAAGCGACCCGGCGGCCAGAACTCAGACATGTTCGGGATATTGGTATCCCAACAATATTCAGAGGACCAACACACATTTCACCCTTCTGCTCCGACCAGGACTTCCAGGACGGCAGGCGCATCATCGGCGGGACAATTCGACAGTATCGACTGCGACTGTCCTACACCGATTGACAGGACTTCGTGCCAGGCCGTGGGGGGGATGGGGGAGGATGCAAGGGCCCAAGGGGGCACAAATGTATCGACACGAATTCCAAATGTTTTCCACACTTGTTCGTGTTTCCTGGAACGGCATCATCCCCTCCATGTTTCCCAAATTTATGAAAATCCGCCGATCCAGTCGGCGTGTGTTAGGGGCTTGTCTGTCCGAGTCTTCGTCTCCGTTCCTTTCCATGCACCCTCCTCCTTGAGCATTTCAGCGAGCGAAAAATCTAGCCACGTCGCAATCGAGTCGAAGGGAAGCCCTTTCCCTTTGATCCCTCCCCCGTCGGGAAGGGGGGAGGGCCCGGGGGAGGGGGGTCGAATGAACTTCCCCAGCAAAGGTCCCGGGGCCTCAAAAAGAGCAAGACATGCCAAGAGTGCCCTGGGAGGTCACCGAAATGGTCCAAACCCCAATCGACAAACGATCGGTCCAAAAACGCCTTCACGTCCTCCAAACTGCCAAGGAGGCCGCCAAGACGCCCAAGGGGGCCTCCAAAAGCACTCCCGGGAGGGCCCCCACACACAAGCCGTACATCCAGCAGGACGCGTTGGCACGACAACCGTTTAAAGCCGCCGAACAATTCTCACACTGCAACACAGAGTCGTGCTGGGAGAAAAAGAAGCGGAGGAGAGAAGACAAAGACGACCAGACTATGTAGCATAGGGGTGCTCAGATCTGTTGGCACAGTTTGTACACCTCACGAGTCCATTGCTGTCTCGGCCGGCCGCGAAGCAGGTGTTTAACCCAAGCTTGTGGCGTGCCATCTTGTTGTTGACATACGAGTTGGCGAACGAGCGAATCAGGCGCATTTGCTATTTTGGAGGGTGCGCCGCTGGATCTCCCCAAGGTGGGGGAGGTTAGGACTCCCCCCCCCCCTTCCCCGATCTATTGTCGGGGACCCCCCCCGTGGTGAGCAGGATTCGGTACCATTTGACAACAAAAGCCTAACATGGTTCCGATCGGTGTGTGTGTGTGTGCGTGTGCGTGTGTGTATGTGTTTGTGC